TGCTTCCCCAGCCAGGCCTGGAGCAAGGCTCAGTTCTGCCCATTACGGGGCTACCACTTCTAAAGGCACCTCCTTTCCCCCCAACAGGGAGCCTCGAGGCAGAACATCATTGACTGTCAGAGCCCTTTCACCTGTGATGAAGGAAACACCAGACTTTTCGCAGAGTTCAGATTGCAGTCTGTCCTGGACTAATTTTGGGTTAGCTTGGACAATTTGTTTCCTCTCCATAGGTTTTGGTTTCTTCATCTAAAAATAGGTCGTGAATCTGGGTAATCATAATCTCCATCAGCACTGGCCCTGAACTGCTGCTTTAACGACTACTAATTGGAAAGGAGAGCTGGGGGAGAGGATGGACTGCCTGCTGCCCTGGGAGAGGGAGGAGCACGGGGGAAATTTCTAGTGCAGCTGCCCACCCCTTCCCTGACTTCACAGCCCTCATTATCATGCCTATGTTTTCTCTGTCACCAGCTGGCTCCTTGGGATCCTGGCTATGCGAGCCACTTAGTATGTGCAGTCATGATAGGTACCCGTTACTGTCATTGTTATGGAAAAATATCCTGGCCAGGATGGTGCTGGCAATGGTGGTGGTGAGGTAGGTGGTGATGACAATGACAGAAGAGATAGTGCTGATGGTGGAGCTACAGGTGGGTCCAAGGGTGTGCGGTCTACTATCATGAACTTTGACTCAATTGGCCAAATCATATCCCAACCCTAACTCCTCTTCTTACTGGCTTCTTTTGCAATAAGAGAGGCCAAGTGAAAGCCTGTGTGTCCGGATCTCCTGAAGAAGGCAACAGAGCAGGTCGGCAGGGTGGAGAGAATCCTGCACTGAGCTGAACTGGAAATGCCTGGTTGTCACTTCCTCTCTGCTTTGCCACTGACTCCCACAGCAGCTGATCAGGAAGGTATTAGATGCCTCCACTAGCTGTCACCCACACCTGCCTCCTGAATCCTGATCAGGAGATGGTGTCATAAGGCCTTTCAAATAAAATATTTAGTGACACTTGCTTCCCAGACAAGTGTGGCCTCTGCTTGGCATCGGAAGAGCTCGGGGTAAGGTGTCCTGAGAGGCTCCACCGATAGGGCAAGCATCGCAGAGCCACATGTCCTAGTTTGAGACTTGGGGTGAGGGAGAGGGAAGCGGGTAGGAGAATGGCGACTAGGCAAGCTTTGGCTCTTGAGAATGCATGTGACAAAGTGACTTCACAGACTAGAGAGAGAGAGGAGCAGTGGCAGAAAAACAGAGGCATCATGAGGTAGAAACTCCTGAGGCTGACAGTAGCCAAAAATCGGAGTTAGGAAAAATGTTAGGTATGCAAAGTCATGGGCATATGTTCACTGGCTTCTACCAAATCAAGTATGGATAATTTATTCTAAGACAGATCATGGAATGGAGGGAGGTGAAGAGCCAGAAATATTGACAAATAAATTACTACTAATAAAGACTATTTATTATGGTGAACACTTAAAATGGGCCAGGCATTGTTTTAAGTGCTTTATACGTATTAAGTGACTTCACTATAATAATCGTATGAGGCAGATGCTCGTACTAATCCCATTTTATGTAGATAGATAGCATCACAGAGTGGCTAAGGACCTTGACCAAGTTTACACAGCTATCTAAGTATCTAGGTTCAGAGTCAATGCATTTAACCATTGCACTACACAGCTTTTCATCAGAGGTACAAAGGTGGCTGCTTGTCCTCCACAAAGGGTGTTTCTCTGAGTTCGGATAGGAGACTTGATCCTTGCTAGCTGGGTCCTGCTTTGGAACTCAGCTATTCTGTTACATCAGCCTTGGCATGGAAAGGCAAAAACTCTCAACTTGCTGTTGAAATCAATTGTCCTTGTGAAAGCCACACTCCTAGGATAAAGTGTGAGCCTTACCTGCCACACCTGCACTGCAGGAGACCATGCTGCCTCTTGACTCCACTCTGCCAGCGCCTGCTACTCCCAGATGGGCGACCCTTGAGCCCCATGGAATGAATTTGCTTGGCTGGTCACCAAAAGCAGTCTGTCTCAAAGTGAATGCTGATTGAGGAGTAAGAGGCAAACAGCCCAACCATAGTGGTCTGTTGAGAATTCCTGACCTAACCAGTTTTATCAGGTAGGATGGAAGGACTTCAGCATCTATCTCAGCCACAGACTTTAGAAGCTGAGGGAAGCAAGCCTCAACGTATTATTTCACCTGGAAGAAGAAAGCTTACAAACTGGCTGATTCAAACATCCTTTATTTTAAAATCAAGAAATAGGCTCAGGAAGATGCTAGCCTAGTCTAAAGCGATATGACTCATGGCTGACAGAGGCAGAATTTGAATCAAAGTCTCCTAAGTCCCTTACTCTGCCTCCTGCCCCATGACTTCATGCCTTCTAGTCACCAGACCAATTTTCCGATTCATAGTTCAACTCTTAGGATCCTTCATCTCTGCCAACTTTATTGCAGGTGGCAGAGAGACTGTTGGGACTTGTGCAGTAGTACGAGAGGGAAGACCACCTCAGATCTATTCTCTTTCCTTTGACACATGCTTCCTGAATTGAATCCCTTCACTGGGTCAGGGAAAGCTGGGGATCAAAGGTCTTCCCACAATGTTCATTCCCAAGAAAAGGAAGAATATGAGCAAAAAGAGAAGTCAAGAGCCCTGGCAGGATTCCTAAAGTGCAATCTCCTGGGAAGGCTTCAGTGAAAACAATAACAACTAGCAGAAGTTGACCTAAGAAGTTTCCCTGCATTATCTCATTTGCTCTCATGACAACCAGTGAGGTCGGTACTGCAATTATCCTCGTTCTACCTGAAAGGGAGATGAGACTTCACTTGCCCACTGTCCCATAGTTGTTTCCAAACTCTGCCTAACAACAAAGCCACTCACTAATCAAACTGATCTCAGGGGGATGTTGGGTAGGGAGGTGAAGTAGTTGATCTTAACCTTACGTTGTGTCTGTCCTTCGATGTTATCTCTGCTACCATGACCTCCATCCTGTAGCCATGGGCTAAACGTATATATGGTGGATAAGGCAGAAGTGTGCTGTCCACAAACTCAGTGCCAGTGTCTCAGAGGGCACTTTCTACAAGGCAAAACCCTAACATAGCATGGTCACAATTACTTTCCTCCTTGTGGAACACTGCCCTCCACCAGCTGAGACAGGGGCATGCCCATATTGGCCTCTGGTAGTTCCCTGTCCAGCTGGGGAATGTAAGGCACTTACATTCTGTTATTTCCTTTTTGCAGCTTCTTGTGAGGAATTCACGTCCTGCTACCGGCCCCAGGACATAGCTAAAAATAACGGGTTTTCAAACCAAAAGCTCCGTCTGTTGAGGCTTTGCAGTGGGTGCAGGCGTGGGGCCGGAAGGGCAGTGCTGGAGGCCCTGGGGTCAGCCGGGGCCTCGTGCTGTTGTGTTCCTCTTTCTAAGGAAGCCTGGGCTCCTGAGTCATCTCAGACCCCCCTGATGGAGCCTGGTTGGTGGGGAGCAGTCAGGTGGATTCTGCCTCTGGCACCACAATGGCTGTCAGGTCCAGGACCCAGAGTTGAAGAGCAGGAAAGAGAGTTTCTAAAGATACAGAGCAAAACAGTGTGGATTCCCAGCATGGAGCCTATTCTGATTCTAAGCCAGTCCAGCCAGACTGGAAGGTAGAAGGAGACGGGACCCTGCTAAGCTGCCTTGGAGGCAGTTCTCCATCCTTGGCCAGGGCGTGTCCACTCCTGTCGCCTCGCTGCCCAGAGTTGTCTGGACTTGTCTGAGAAGGGTGCCGGGCAATTTGTCTCACGGGAGAAAAGATGTTTCTGCTAAACGGCACTCAGCCTCCTCCTGCTACTGCTCCCTGCTGCTGCTCCCTTTCCACGCTAGTCAGGAGCAGCGCTCTCAGAGGGAGGGGGCAGGCTCCTCTGTCCCAGCCCTGGCCCAGGCACACCAGAAACTCTCCACAGGAGCCCCGCTTTGCTCCTCTGGGCAGCTTCCTTGGAAAACAGAAAAGCTTTAGGGCCTGGGGGTCTGGAGGGAGGGGAAGGAGCAAAGGAGTCAGGGTGGGAGACGAGGCGCAGCAGGGCAGAGCAGGGTGAGGCCCGGGGCTGACTTCCTGGGTCTCAAATGATCACGAGGCTCCAGCAGTCACTGAAATGAGACCCTCAACTTGCCTCCCTTTGTCCCACCTACATTTTCGAAACCCAAAACTTGTGTCCAGGTAGCTAAAGCTGGACTCAGATGGCCAGTCCCCCTTGGCGAGGAGGACAGCCCCACCTGCAGAGGAGCAGAGGAGAAGAAATGTCCGCAGGACCTGGCAGCCCGCTCCCTGGGAGGCAGTGACTGGCATCCTCCTGTCCCAGAGAAGAGTGGGTGGGGGGTGTCTACTCATCTCCTTGGGGCTGTTCAGGCTTCTGAATGGCACACCTGAAAATCCCAGCCCTATTGGCCACAGCGTCTCACTCTTTTCTAACAAGTTGTAACAGCTAACATCAGGGATTCTTCTTTCTGGAGAGGATGGGGCTGAAACCCTTTCCTGTGGAGGACAGAGATTGAGAAAGTAAGGAAATGCAGCTGCATGAGGGAATGGAATTCTGAAACAAAAAGGAATTTTATTTGCAGCATCAGACTCTGGGAGTAGTTTTTAAAAACGAGACATTTTCATTTGACTGAGAGAGGACAGAAGCAATTCCTGGGTAGGAAAGACTTGCCTTACTCTTGATCGGGGGATCAACTGGCAGGGTGAACTTAAACAGTCTTTTAACCTCCCTGAGAGATAAAAACAATGTTTTAAGAGAACAGAAATAGAGATGCTTTGTAAAGTAAAAGAAAGGAATTTACAGTGTAAGGCTGGAGACCAAAATAGATAATAGGATTCCCTGAACAACTCCAAGAGGGAGAAAGTGTGTTAAAAATAGAAAAACTGAAATACAGAAGGAAGAGACTCACAGAGCTAGCCAGGGCTGGGACTCTGGGTCAAGCAATTTGATTCACTCCTCTCAGGACTATTTTCCATCTGACCTCCCTGCCTTGTGTTTTCCAGAACCATGTGAGGGCCAAGCCAGGACGGTGGCGTGGATGAGCGCTCAGAGGATCTGCCTCCTCGTCTTTGCCCCTCTCAGCATGGAACAGAGGAGGCCCTGGCCATGGGCCACAGAGGTTGACAGCTGGTCTGTGGTCTTGCTCTCAGTGGTTTGGGTGCTGCTGACCTGCCCGGCAGCCAGCATGCCTCAGTTCAGCACTTTCCACTCTGAGAATCGAGACTGGACCTTCAACCACTTGACTGTCCACCGAGGGACGGGCGCAGTGTACGTGGGGGCCATCAACCGGGTCTACAAGCTCACGGGCAACCTGACCATCCAGGTGGCTCACAAGACTGGGCCGGAAGAGGACAATAAGTCTTGTTACCCGCCCCTCATCGTGCAGCCCTGCAGCGAGGTGCTCACCCTCACCAACAACGTCAATAAGCTGCTCATCATTGACTACCCTGAGAACCGCCTGCTGGCCTGCGGGAGCCTCTACCAGGGGGTCTGCAAGCTGCTGCGGCTGGACGACCTCTTCATCCTGGTAGAGCCATCCCACAAGAAGGAACACTACCTGTCCAGCGTCAACAAGACGGGGACGATGTATGGGGTGATCGTGCGCTCTGAGGGGCAGGATGGCAAGCTCTTCATCGGCACCGCTGTGGATGGAAAGCAGGATTACTTTCCCACTTTGTCCAGCAGGAAGCTGCCCCGTGACCCCGAGTCCTCCGCCATGCTCGACTATGAGCTACATAGTGATTTTGTCTCCTCCCTCATCAAGATCCCCTCCGACACCCTGGCCCTAGTCTCCCACTTTGACATCTTCTACATCTATGGCTTTGCCAGCGGGGGCTTCGTCTACTTCCTCACTGTTCAGCCTGAGACCCCCGAGGGTGTGGCCATCAACTCAGCTGGAGACCTCTTCTACACCTCGCGCATCGTGAGGCTCTGCAAGGATGACCCCAAATTCCACTCCTATGTGTCCCTGCCTTTCGGTTGCACTCGGGCTGGGGTGGAATACCGCCTCCTGCAGGCTGCTTACCTGGCCAAGCCCGGGGACTCCCTGGCCCAGGCCTTCAATATCAGCGGCAAGGATGATGTGCTCTTCGCCATCTTCTCCAAAGGGCAGAAGCAGTACCACCACCCACCCGATGACTCTGCCCTCTGTGCCTTCCCCATCCGAGCCATCAACTTACAGATCAAGGAGCGCCTACAGTCCTGTTACCAGGGCGAGGGCAACCTGGAGCTCAACTGGCTGCTGGGGAAGGACGTCCAGTGCACCAAGGCGGTAAGGAGGCTCTCACTTCGCTCTACTCCTGATCTGGAGTTCGGGCTCTGACTGTCCATCCTGTGCCCCATTGGGATGACCACCAAGGGCCAGAAGTGAGAGAGGTTTTTCGGGTCCATGCTGTCAGGTGGTAGCCCATAACACAGAACCTGACACATACCAGACACTCGAGGCATGTTTGTTGACCCACTGAGTCATTCCACAAACAGTTGACCCTTGAACAATGAGGGTCAGGGTGCCGACCCCCTGTGTAGACAAAAATCCACCTATAACTTTTGACTTCCCAAAAACTTAATTAATAGCCTACTGTTGCCTGGAAGCCTTACCTGTAACATAAACAGTCAATTAACACATATTTTATATGTTACACTTATTATATACTGTATCCTTACAATAGAGTAAACTAGAGAAAAGAAATGTTACTAAGGAAATCATAAGGAAAAGAAAGTGCAATTACAGTATTCATTGAAAGCAATCACGTGTACATAGACCCACACAAACCTAAGCTGTTCAGGGATTAATGTACATATATCAAGCGCCTACACCACACCAGGCACTGCTGGCTTTGGCGGTGTCCCACACAACAAAGTACCCCCACCCTCACGATGAGGCAAGACAAATAAATACATAAAATACGTAGCCTGTCAAATGGTCATGATTGCTGTAGAGAAAAATAAAGCAGAGAAAAGGAAGAGGGAGTACCTGAAAGGGTTGATTCATTGAGAAAGTGGCCTTTGGACAAAGGCCAAGGAAGATAAGGGAGTGAGCCATGTGGGGACCTGGGGAAAACATTCCAGAGAGCGGGAGCAGCAAGTGCAAAGATTTCAGGGAATGCCTGGTGTGTGTGAGGAGCAGGAAGGAGGCAAGCGCAGCTGGATTGGAGCATGTGGGGGAAAGAGTGGGAGGAGACGAGGCTGCCCAGAGGCAGCAAGGATCAGACAGTGTTTGGGCAGGGACTTGAAGACTACTGTGAAGGCAAGTTAGGGTGCTGAGTAGGCAGTTGGATATGGAAGCCGGAAGAAAGGGAAGGGAGTTAAGCTTGACTGGTAGATTACAAACTGGGGAAACATAATCAGAAGTTTGGGTAAAGGGAAAAAGAAAGGGAGCTAAGGATCCAGACCAGAGGACCACAGAGACAAGAAAATCCCTGGTGAGCACCGTCCTGTAAGAGGGTCAAGTTGCTGCAGAGACAAGAAAATCCGTGGTGAGCACTGTCCTGTAAGAGGGTCAAGTTGCTGCCATCTAAGTGGTCACCATGACACACCCATCCATCATCCGTCTATCATCCATCTGCCTACCCATCCCTTCATCCGTGTATTTATCCACCTCTCCCATTTGTTACCTATCCACCAAACTATTCCTCCATCCATTTAAAAAGACAGTATTGAAGATCTTCTATGTGCCAAACATTGTGCCAGATGCAAACATAAAAATACAAGGTCACTACTCTCACATGTCTCATAATCTAGTGATCGGAGGAGAGAGAGGGAGAAATATCTAGAACTATAATATAGTCTGGGCTTTAGAGACAAAGACTACAGTTCAAATTTCATCTGTGCTGCTTCCTGGCTTCTGAAGTAATTTAACATTTTTATTTCTACATTATCATCTGTGAAATGGTAATTATAATGCCTACCTCATGGGATGTCCAAGTGAGATATATGAGAAGATCTGTGCCATGCCTGGCCTGTGAGGTATACCATTATTAGTTAACTGTTAAGCCATGTGAAAAGCGTAAAGGTAGATTTCTGTGCAAAGTGCTGTAGACTCTGGATCTGCAGTCTCGGGAAAAATCTGAGATGAAGGGACCCATATGGCTGCTTTCTGAGTGCCTAAAACTGCAAGTGCCTGCTATTGGGACTGAACCACTCCTTAAAGCAAGAAAACAGTCACACCTTTTCTTCGCTTCTTGTCCCACTATCATTTGCTTGGTGTGATAGGATATTGGTTAAGACTATATAGGTTTTGAAGCCCAACAGATTTGTATTTAAAGATCAGTTCTACCACTTAAAACTCTGACTTTGGACAAGCTGTGCATCTGGTCCAAGCTGTAATTTTTCATCTTAAAAATAGAGCTAATAGTACCCTGTTTTATGGTTCTTACAAAAATCAAATAGAAAAATACATATAAAATTCTTAGCATAATACCTGGCACATAATAAGCATTCAGTAAATTGCAGCTATAATTATTAATATTAATCATAATGACAACCAGTTGTTTGCTGTTATTTCATTTTTGTAAAATGAGGAGGTTGAACTAGATAATCTCCAGTTTTTTATGGCACTAAAATTCTATAACCTACGGCCCCAAACAATCAGAAGTACAGAGGAAATGAAAGGGTTAACCCCCTGGCAGAGTCCTGTCTAGATCCTATTGCCCAGAGGGGAGCTTGTCAGGAGGAAACTGCTGATTCCTGCCTGCTTCTGAGCCAGAGAGAAAAGGAAGCTGACACCCTTCTCTGGCTCCAGTGGCTTGCAGAGAGACAAGCCTAGACTAATGACCAAAGAGCAGCAAAGGCACTGGAAGAGAGGTGAGAGCAGGCGAGACCAGGACCTCAGAGAACACAGGCCCCCATCACCATTCCCCACCTTTCTCCTCTCGGTAGCACACTCTTCCAGTGCAGCCTTCGCCCAGGAGAAGGGGTGCTATGGGAGTCCCAGACCTGAGGATCCAGAAGCATTTGGTGGCCTTAGATGGCATTAAGGACTGGTGAAAGAAGCTGAGGTCCCAGGGCTTAACTTGAACACGGTCTTTGGACGAACATGGAACACGCAGATGAAGGATTTGAACTTTTCTAAAAGGGAGTAGGAAGGGGTCTATCATTCATTAAATAGCAGCTATGTATTAAAGACGGTCCTGAGCAATTTATTTTTTATTGTTTATGCTGTTATAGATGTCCCTTGATCCTCAACGTAACTCTATGAAACAAGGATGATCATCCCCATTTGACAGGTGGAAAAACAAAGGTTCATAAACACTACATATCTTAAACTCACACAACTACAAATGATAAAACAAGGATTTGGATTCAGTTAAGCCCATACGGCTTCTGAGCCTGTTGACAGTGAGAAGGAAAACAGCACCAGGTGTTAGCAGGGAGTTAGACCAGACCTTGGTTCGGCAACATTGGTACTTCAGTTCTGGCTAAGAAAGAATTCAGAGAGAAGACTCAAACTATAAGAGAAAGTTTATTTAGAAAGTCACAGAGGTAGAAGAAGTAAGTTGTAGAAGAAATTGGGCTCAGGGAACAAGTTATAGAAGCAAAAGAAGGGGCCCTGGAGCTTAGGAGAGAGAGGCGAAGAAAATGCATCTGGGGTAAGGGGTCGGGGAAAGGTGAGGATGTGCTCCCTGGTGCTGGGTCCTGCATCTTGAGGGTATTTATCTGGAAATCTCATTTACCTAAAAATCCCAATAGACTATTCATCAGCTTTCCAGGTGTGTCCCTCAGGGTCATGGTCTGTACTGATTGGTTGCTGCCGGGGCAAGGCGCCATCAGTCAATGCAGCTGGTCCTAATGTCAGCCATGTTGTAGCTTGTCTGGTTTTGCTGCATTTCTGGGTCTGGGGACTTAATGCTTAAGGGCTATTCTCCAGGCCCCTTGTTTGTTCCCTCTCTAAAGGAAGTCTAACCGGGATGACTAGCAACATGCCAGGGGCAATACGGTCAGGAGAGGGTCCAAACTGCATGGCCAGTGATATGAAAGGTCAGGGTGTCTAAACTATATGACCAGTGATATGCTAGGGGAGGAAAGGTTACCGTGGGGGAGAGGTCCTTGTTTTCCCAGTTTTGTCCCTTGCTGGGCACCCAGAGCTTTCCGCCCTGGAGACCTTCTAAACCTGACTGTTGCCCTGCTCTGCTCGTGTCTGTCAGACTGCCTACCACAAGCCTGAATTATTTCTGTGTAGCCATGCTGCTTTAGGGAAAGCCATACTCCAACCTCTCATCATTTGAGGAAAAGTGAAGGGGCATCAGGTGTTTGGGAGTATCTGACAATTTAGAGGAGAGAAAGAAATGTCAGCCAGTCCCCAAGAGCTTAGCCTCAGAACAAACTATTTTCCTTGTAGACTGGGATTTCTAGTTTCAGGAGGGATGTAGAGAAATCCACAATCACCAGCAGATTTTTGCTTCTGTCATCATTTCTCAGCAGCTGGCCTGGGCGATCCCTTTGTCCAGGCTCTGCATGCAGCCTTATTGGCCCCAAGAGAAAGTGGGAAATAAACTTCACCATGAAATGAGGAATTTCAGATCTGAAAGGAAATTTGATGATTACCTGGTCCAACCCTTTCACTTCACAGATGAGAAAACTAGAGCTCAGAGAGGGTATGTGACACATCAAGGTCATCTGGCTAGAGGGACCTAGAGAAAGGACTATATCTTCTGAGTCTTCCAGGGCACCTGCTACCTATGGTATAGGGATGAAAAAAACAAGCAGAAAATGGTGGTAGTTGCTCCTCTGATCTGTCTTCCTAGGTAACAAGGCCTTTCCACATTGGCTCCTGTGATGTGCTGGTAAATATTAAATAACTAGCTCTGCACAGGCTGCAGTGATGGTGGTGGCGAGAGCCTTGACTAGAAACATTTGCTAATTTCCATGATGTAAATGCTCCCACCATCGCTGATTTCACACCATCAGTGTGATGTCCCTGAATATAGAGATGTACAGTCATCCCTCATGCGCTGGCTCCGGCATACCCCTGCTTCACTCCCTTCCTGAGAAGCTCATCCCTTCTGCCGGGGTGGGGGTGGGGGTCGGGGGTAGTGATGGCTCCATCTTACCAGAGTTCACAGAGTTCAAGGTCATCCTTAACCTAAAAGTTAGTTCCCTTTCCTAAAAGGTACACACACCAATACACACACACACGCACGCACGCACGCACCACCACCATTCCAAGCAGCAGCAGGAGCATCACTCTCTACAGAACACCAAGGAATCACAAGATGTAAATCTCTCTTCCTGTGGACCTCAGAGAGGAATGGAAGGGAAGACTCTGGCTTAACTATTACGTGCCCTAGCTTATAAACCAGTTATTCCAAGGAAATGAGGCTGTTGGCGAGTGATGCACCAGCCAGCTATTTCCTGGTAAGTGTGAAGGGCGGAGGTTGAAGGGAACAGGTTGCCCATTGCTCCATGATGCTTTCTGTGCTAGAACAGTCATTTCCTTCCTCATCTGGGATGCCTTTCCAGGCCCAGAAGAAACACGACTCAGGCCTCTTTCTGGCCCAGAGTCTGCAGCCTTGGCCCACAAGATTCCAGTTGCGCAGTCAGCTGGGGCATTTCAGAGGACGCATCACAGCCCAGCCCCACAATAGGCACTGTGCAGAGAACACAAGCCTTTTGGCAGCCCCTGTCCTTGGGAAGCAATTTATTTACCTGAATGAGATCTTAGAAATAATCAATTTAACATCCCCCCTTAACAACCTCCAAAGAGGATGTTACTGGTCCAAGTTTATACTTAGAGATACTTAGCAGTAGAGCAGAAGCTAGAATTCATGTCTTTCTACTTTCTGTCCAGCTATTTTTCCTGCTTAAGGTGATCTTCTTTCAAGAGTGCCCTAGTCTCTCCTGAAAGATACTCCTTCCACAGAGGCACACCACCACTCTTTTCAAAAGTCTGGTAATAGGAAGGACATAGCCTGAACACAGCTGAAGACCTGTGCCATACAATAATGGAAATCATTACATAACTTAAACCTCTCTTGCATGCATTATTTCATTTGTTCCTCAGTAATTCTCTCAGAAAGGTGGGCAGATAGTTTGACAAATCAAGAAACTGAGATTTATATAGATTAAGTACCTTTTCCAAAGTATAAGTTTCTGTTCAATATTAGGATGACCCTTTTCAGTCTATCCCCAGTATAGGATGTGGTGAATGGTTGGCTTAAAAATCTTTATGCCCGAAGGGAGGCCTTGCATCCCAAGAAATAAATAAGAAATTCTCTCCAGGCTGGTAGATGTCCTGGGATGCTGCCTCAAGACTGAAGCTCTACTGTGTAAATAGAAAGATCGCCACAAAATGGCGTGGTCCACAGGGCCATTAAAATGACTGGAAAATGAATGTAAGCAATCAGCTTTACAAATGACCCCAGGGTCCCTTGACAGAAAGCGAACAGGCAAGGGAGGGAGGCTGCTTGTGCCTCTCTCTCCCTTTCCCAGGGTCCTCTGTGGGCTTTGTGGGTCAGGTGGAGAGATATTGTTTGCACATGTGTAAGGACCCTGCACCCATGTCACACCTCTCAGAAGCCTGGTGTCCCAGGGCTGGCTGTCGGGGGCGAGCTCGGGACTGACCACCATGACTCTACTGCTTTTCATCCTCATTTTCTCCTCTTCCCTCCAGCCGGTTCCCATCGATGACAACTTCTGTGGATTAGACATCAATCAGCCGCTTGGAGGCTCCACTCCAGTGGAAGGCCTGACCCTGTACACCACCAGCCGGGACCGCATGACATCAGTGGCCTCATACGTTTATAATGGCTACAGCGTGGTTTTTGTGGGGACTAAGAGTGGCAAGCTGAAAAAGGTAAGAGTCTTTGAGCCCCGATGTGCCGATGCCCTTCCGCTCCTCTGCTGAGAACCCCTTCTGGAAGGTAGCTATTGCTCGAGTTTTAACTACAGGCAATTCTGATTTTCTTAATTTTCTTGGTGGAAGGGGTCAGAAAATGGAGTAGGTAGGGATTAATTTTGTGGCTTATCTTCTAGCGACTTTTCCTAGCCATTTGTCAGTGAGTGTCTAGGAAATGCAAATATATTTCAATATTGCCCACACTTCAAGGAAGTAGGAAAGCACATCTTCCTAAAGGAGAAAAGTACTTCATTCATTATCTCCAAGTCCAGTAGAAATGACTTGATTTTTTGGTTCTCTGTGTTATAAATCCCCAACATCACAACTACCTCCCCACAGCCTGGAGAGCTGCTTGTACTGGTCAAAAGTCTTCGTGGAGTCCAAAGCAGCTGGTTGAAGCAGAATGTGGGTCTCTATTCCAGGAACATGGGCAAATGGCGAGGCTGCTGTCTGAGGGCATATTGTACCCGGCTAAGAGGCCACGCTTCTGTCTTTCCTATTCCTGCAAGTGCAGCGTCTTCCCTACCCCTCCACTCCCATCCCCCAAGACCTGAGCTTCCAGGAGGAAGTAGATATCTTACCCATGACTTCCCTGGGCACCGCTGCCAGCTGGAGGGCATGGGATGTCTGGGCTGGCGCGCGGGCGGCCTCTTGCGCGGTGGGCTGAAGCCAGCAGCTTGTACCTGCTTGCCTAGTGCTCAGGGTGCGGAGCCTGAGCACAGTCTGGTTCATTATGTGGGATTACAGCGGCCGCATTCTTTCCGGTCCCAGCTAATCCCCTTTTCCTAAACTTACCCTCCTGCTACCTTTCCCCAGTCCTTCCACCTGTGGATCAAAGCACATGCAAGACCTCACCCCGTCTCACCCTTGATGTTGACATCACCGCTGTAACTCTTTTCTCCTCATCTAGTTAGAGCCTGGGAGAGATGTTGTTTGGGATGTGGACGGAGGAGGGCAGGGCGGGAGCCTGAGGAAGAATTTCCGTGATCTGCTTGTTCTGAGGTGTTGCCAGAGGAGGTGAGGAGAACTGGCCTGGGCTTAGGCACTGAACCCTCCAGACCGCTGCTGCTCCTCATGAGGCCAATGCCCTTTAACCCTTTTCTCACTTTGTGGGGAGGTTGCTACTTTTTCCTGGGCTGTGCCATCCACTTCTCCTGGGACTGTGGACCTTGGCCTCGCTCTTTGGCACATGGAAGAGAGGATGAGTGTGGTCCCTGTGTTTGCTTTCCCAACATGCAAGAGGAAAGGAGCTGCCTTAATGAGATTTCACTAAGATTTAAAAGTGGCATATTCTGCCAGGATAGGATTCAGCTTGGACTCTGAGGTTGGCTGCTTCCCTGCTCAGCAGGCTTTCCTGTACAGCTGGGCAGAGTGGTCCTTGCACGCTCCATTGGGCCGAGGGGCCTATGGGAGCTGGAATCTAGCCTCAACTCTCTTGTCAAACCATGTACCCTGGAGTATAAAAATTCACCCAGAAGGGCTCTTTTTACTAATCTATCTGCCTATAGAGACTACCTCTTTTTACACCTCACTAAGGCTTTCTGGGGGCCAGCAGTAGCCACAGATGTTCTGGATCACTCATGTAACTCTGTCTCCTTTATTCTCCTAAAAGTTTGGTTAAAAACAGGGTTCATGCTTTACTCTTATTTATTTCCTTCTTTCTACCTGTTTTTTTCACCGTGTGGTTATACGTGGGATAGGTCCCAAAAACGTTTTGAAAAATGGAACCATTCTCTAAAGAAACGTAGAGATCATCTGGCCCAATACTCTCATTATCCAGCAGGTTCACTGAGGCCCAGAGAACAAAAGTGTCTTGTCCCTGCCTAGAGACTAGGACAAGATGCTTCTTACCCTGACACCCAAGTTGACACCATTTTTACTTAAAGAAGCAGACACAGGATCCAGGAATGGATGCTGAGAACAATTTTTGGATCCAGGTTTAACACAGAGTTTACCAGGGGCCAGTGCTTCCACTCCTTTTGGTCTTAGATCTGAGTTAAGGAGTTAGTGTTTGCTGAATGCATGGATGAGGATGAAATAAAGGAAGAACGACCCAGCCAGATGCAAAGGGACCCTGTGCTGACCTTCCCTATATCTCTGTGCATCTTGCACAGCACACACAGGGGCTGCTTGGGGCATCTTTCCAAGCCACACACCCGAGCAAGCAAGGTTCTCCAAGCCCTGGCAGACAAGCCGCTATGGAGGCAAGTTCGCGGGTTCAAGGGCAAGGCTGGGAGCGTGGCTGCCCACGGCTTGTTCCAACCTGCAAGTTGGCTGCTCCTTCTCACTTTTCACTTTGCCTTTCTTTGACTGTTTCTATGAGCTCATAATACCCCTCCTTCTCCTCTGTGCAACTCGCCCTTCCTTTCCACCCACACTTCTTTGAGGCACCTGGTATTCACACCCCGGTTCCCGCTGGCCTCCCACTTACCCACCCATCCCGCTCCAGAAAAATGGCCCATGAGGAATTTATGGAATGTCCCCAGGAAACCCTACCATGGTCCAGGCCCCATGGCTCTTTCAACACAGGAAGGAAAATGAAGTAAAGAAAATATCTAGGAGTATAGAGAGAGGAGGGAAGCAGGCTATGTCAGAACTACGCACTCGTTCCCTGACTGGTCAGGCGTCTGTCAGACTGCCCAGTCCTCCTCCATTGCAACCCACAGGAATAGGATGTCCCTGAGTGGAGAAGTTTAGAGGAAACAGAGACTCATGAGGAGTGCATGACTAGGAGGCGCTGTTATGTGCTATGTCACGTACTTGCTCATAGACTATTCAAGGCCACCACCTTCTGAGCCACAAACATTCAGAAAAACCAGGCAGGAAAAGGACAAGACCTCAAAACCAAGAGGGGAGATGTATAATGCTCGCATAGGCTAAGTGTCAGTGAGCACAGGTGGTAAGAAGACAGGCGAAGCTTCACCATGGGGATGGAGCAATTCCAGAGAAATCAACTGCAATAGAGTGATATATCTGGAAGGCTTTATCAGAGAGGAAGATCGCCAGGCTTTGCTTAAAGACTAAGACAGCTCAATGGCTGAGTTGGGGGTATGAGAGAAGGGCCCTCTAGACCTTGGGTGTCGCACTGAGAAGACTCAATGCACCTACAAGGAGGGTCTAGAGTGCACAGGGGAGCTCCCAGGGCTCGGTGCAGCGGAAGGCAGAGGCAGGGTGCTGTGAGTACCCAGAAGCAAGTGTGAAGAATCTTGGGATTTGTGCTGACCACAGGGTTGACATGAGTCACCTGTGTGATAAAAATGAGCAAAGTTAGTTGGTCTTCAGCACACTAACAGACGGACAATTTCTAGGTCATGGGAAGTGGTGGCTTCACACTGGAGATAACATTGTAAGAATGTCTTAAGCCAACTAAAGTGTGAGATAAACAAAAAGTGGAAGGATATGGAAGTCATGCCGTAGGAAGAATATTGTTAAAAGGATGTTAAGCCAAAGTAAGAAGAGTAAAGGAGGAGACAAGACAGTTTTCTTCAGATACTGTAATTTACTGAGCACGTATTATGTGTCAGGTGTTCTTCTAAGAGTTTTATATCCATTAAATCACTTAATGTGTGTATAACTCCATGAGGTAGGTGCTATTATTATCTCCATTTTACAGATGAGGAAATGGAGGCCAAGAAAGATAAAGAAATGCATCTAATGTCCCATAACCAGTAAATGGCAGACCCAGGATTGACAGCCTGCACGCTCAGTCATTAAGCTGTGGAGTAGGAATCAGACTTATTTGGTGTGGCCCCAGAGGGCAGAATAGAGCCAATGGGTAGGAGTGACAGTAGATTAGATTTCCACTTAAAAAAAAATGAAGTTTCTTGCAGCCAAACTGCCCCATAATGGGATGGAAAGAGCCAACTCAAGAGGTAGTGAGCGCCCAGACAGTGGAAATATTCAGGAAGAGCCTGGATGGTCACGGAGCAGGGAAGCTGGAGAGGGGGCTCCTGCACTAAGCACACGGCTTCCAACTCTGCTGCCCATCTTCCTCTGCTTCCTTCGGTAGTAGTGGGTGATAGGCAGGCAGGCTGTGGCAGGGCACGGGAGCAGAGATGGAGGCCAAAGCCCCTGGGTGTGGGCTTTGAAATCCCGGCTGGGTTCGAGCTCGCTCTCCGAGTGCCATGGAAAGCCCCTCAGGGTCGAGGAGTAGGTGCTTGGCTCAGACAGGAAAAGGCTTCGCCAAGGCGATGAGAGCAGGAGCTCATGCAGCGACAGCAGGGTATGCTGGGCAGGGTTGACTACGATGACATCCCTCCTGGCTAAGAGCAGGCTGTGGGAGGCCAGAGAAGGGATGCTGGGAGCTAATGCCAAAGCAGATGGAAGATGAGCAGTGGCAACAGGAACTGCAAACTCATTTAATTCAACCTCTCAGGTTGAAGGGAGGAGACCAGGAGACCATTGAAACACAAGCCATGGGGCATAGGAGGGAAGGGGAGAAGGCAGAAGCCACCAGGACATGAGAGGGAGGACTCCCTCCCTCCTTCCTTATTGGGGCAAAGTTCCTGTGGTTCCTTCTCTCCATTTGCAGCTGTTAAAACTGCTGCCTCAGTCCAGGCCTCCCCTAGCCCCCTGGGGCCTTGCAGAGCAGCAGGAAGTATTGGCTCTCCATTCTCTCTCCCCAGTGGAAACCTTGCTTTTTGCTGCCCAAGGGCTGGCGATGTGTCCTGTACCGTCCTCTGGAGCATTTGAGCAGCACCCTCCTTAGGCCCCTCACATCACGTAGTTTTGCTCTGACAGCATCTGACATGGGATCAGCTACAGATGTGTCCACCTCTCTTGAGATACACAGATCCTGGAGGACAGGGACCCACCTTTTGTATTAATGTCACTCACCCCCACGTCTGATCCGACATCTCTCGCACATTAGGTGCTCATTAAATTTATCTCAAGTTTATTGGGCACCTTCTCCTTGCCAGAAACCTATTTGCACAGACTAGAATAGATCAGACACCAAG